ACTTATTTTCTGTTCTTATTATACACGACGATGAAATATATTGTAACATTATTAAGAATATTATAATATCAGTCGAAATATTTTGACCATTATCAGATAATACCCAATCCTATACAATGGGACGGAGAGAAAAACCGGGAGTAGAACGTTCATTTTTCGAAAGTTGTAGATTTATTTACTGAATTCATAAATTATTATAATATAATATATTATACATAATGTATTACTCACTATCCATAATATAATTTTAGCCATTCAGGACCGCTTTCCACTTATATAATTCAATAGATATGTTGTACATTTATGGACAACAACCAACGTGCGTTAATCGACCGCGTACACGAACGATTAATTATTTTATGAGTAAATATTCTGCAACACAGTCGGGTCCTACTACTATGAACAACTAAAATTTTTTTTCTGCAATAATTTTACGAAAACCAGTTATCAACACACTCGCTATGTTTCTGCATAAAATTATGAAGATTTTGAATAAATCACGACGGGTCCACAGGAAACGTGATAATGGCATACCGATAACATTTTCACCACGTGTGAACTCTATTCCAACAAAACAGAGCTCGATGGAGGGTGTCACAACATCTCCGGATCCCCACGTGTATTTACTTTAATTGTCGTTCATGGATTAATTAAATTACCGAAATTCAAGAGCAATATTCACACGATGGACTGTCAAATTAATAAAATCGAACGGTGGGATTAGATTCAGTTTTGATCTACTCATCACCATCATCATCTATTATCTCTATTTGCTCTGACGTGAATGAAATCGTATTCACACGTAATACACATCAAAACAAGGCGTTTTCCATGGTTACAAAAACAGGATAAATTAATTTTATTAAATAAATTAAAAATTTGAATGAAAATCTCTAGTTTCCGAAGAAAAAAAAATTGCTACCTAGAGATATTATGAAAGTTTTGTACAATAAAGATTCCACTATATACTAAACTGCTAGATTAGAAGGTTGCTCTTCATTTCTACCAGAAGAGAGGGAATAATTTTGCACTAGGAAGGCTTAGCCTCCTCCCCGAACTCACCCTATTTTCGCTTTTTATCTATTACAGACGTTTCTGAGGTTTTGATCTGTTTATCATCTACACGTAGATATATTTTATTAGTTGCAAACAATGATTAGATATATAATACTAATATATATCACAAAACGGCAAGCGTGTATAAAATAGCAGTAAACTTACAGCTTATATTATCACGTCACTTGCGGTTAACGATCTGTTTATCTTGTAAATGGGTGGAAATGTAGTACGCACCTACAAATAGTCAGTATAAGACGGTATATTTTCTCCTTCGTGCGCGGTGAGTTTTAACTTTCTATCAAAATGTATTTACAACTAACGCGAAACGGGGTGCACGTAGGCGGCAGCTGCAGCAATTCACATCCTTCAAGAAATTTCACTTTCCCCCGAGATATTTCAATATCATTTATTATAATATTGAACAAATCGCAGACAAAATCAAAACCAGAAGAGAAAACAATAATTGGTTAAATACCATTTTTACATTTATTATTCAATTCTAAATTCTTCCAGAAAAAAATCCTTTAATAGTTTGAAAGCTTTTCCAGCTTGTCCAAAATGCAAAGATCAACATGTAACATAATATTATGTGGCCGTATCATTGTTTTTAGACTGCGCAAATATTAAAAATTCGTTAATAAATTCGCCATAAACTACCAAAAAATCATTTTATCAGCGAATTTCACATTATGGGATACACTATTTTGGAAGTAAGACATTACATTTATATCCGTCTTATAACCAAAAATCGATAATACACAAATAAGATGTTTCATGTTCGACAATGAATATCAACAATTCGAAGTGAACGACCATGCAATGCTGAAATATTACTGGAACAAATATCCAATTAAAATGTTTATTAACATTAAATGTCATGGGAATAGCGAGAATAATGTACCTAGAGTGCTGAATAATACTTCAACACAATATTTGATTCGTCAAGATCACCGAAATGTACATGACACCAATACCACAATGCCGAAGGATGTAATAAGATACAACAACGAAAGAACTGGTAAAATTTATTGGAACTCAGTGGTTTAAACTGTGATATCTGAAATATCTGCTGATTTATGTGATAACAAAAACAAAATTTCATTGGCCATACAAACACTTCAAACTCGAGAAGCCTCTACTCAAAAAACAGTAGAATGCTTCGAAGAAATAAATTTGACATAAATCATTATAAATTTGTAAAATAGAGAGCTGACGTTATTAAATATTTTTAAACTAAATGATAGCCAACTGGAAACTTATTATTATTAAGAAAACGTATTGAAATAACTTTCAAATTCATCATAAGATAACCAGAAACTTAGCGATTGTAAGAATCCCCAGTTCCACAAATCTTATTAAATGCTAGTTACAGGAAATTAAAATCACTTAACAGATTTAAAATGAAATTAGATTTAACAAATACCACGATGTGTAAAGATTGTAGAAATTTGTATTGCATTACAGTAAAACAAATAAATCTAATGCACTATGAAGACATATTCAGAACAATCAGAGCTACTGAGGTAAAATTGCAAACAAAATCTAATATAACATTTTTCTTAACATCGAATATATATATTATCTAGTAGAAATCATATGGAAGGAAAAATCGGCATTAAGCAAATTCAAAGACGTAACACAATTACAATCGGTAAGATGGGACCACAAACTAAAATGGTCTTCATCGAACACAATTTTATTGATGATCGATGAGGCCACTATTCATTTTAACATCAGTAACATGAATAAAGTGTACACAATAACAATCAATAACATGCATCTAAAATACTTGACGGCTAGAAATTATTTCAAAGGTTTAAACGAAAAAGTAGTACATTGTAACCGTAAATGGGAACTATGTGATTATCATAATAATATATTATTATAATAAATACACTTCATGGCAAAAAAGAGATTTTTTAAAAGTTATCATATGATATTTAATATGCAAATAATATGTTAAGATTTACCATAACCATAATACATTTTAAAATATTCATTTAATTCTAATAACCATAAAGATATATGTATATATTTGAAATATCATTTGTAAATACCTACTTGAGAATATTAAAAAGCGAAATATATTAATGTAAAAACTAGATCTCCTCACACAGGTCTTCTCAGTAGGGTCCAGTACTTCATTGTATGAAATTAAAAATAAAATAAAATTAGGCATGATTTTAAACACAAAGATTAAATATTTAAATAACCAATATTTATTGCCTAAAATACTGTAATCAGATATCTAATAACAAATAGCATCACATAAATGCACTTATTATAAAGTATTCAATAACATAATAGTTAAAGTTCATTCTTATTACTCAATAAAATATTCAATTAATACAAAGCAAGTTAAATTATAACTGTAATCGATAGCAAACATTTTTCTCATTTACACATTACCGCTCAAATACTATAGTATACTATGTTAAAATAAAATACATTATTATAATATTATGTCAGACAAATCAAATTTTATTTCATAATATTAAAATATTACTACAATGTATACATAATGTATTTATATAATATATATATAGAGAAATAATATTATAAAGAATATTAAATCCAAATATACTGTTATAATGTAATATATAATATTAGATGTATGAATGTATTGCAATTAAAATTTTTGAATATAATTTTAAAAATTTTTTATCAAACATTTACAAAGGATTTAAACAGAGATTTGAACAAATTTAGACTTTATAATGAACAACAACAGTATTTAGTATAACATATAAGCTAAGTACTATGAGACAATTAAGTGGTAAATTCATTTTCATTTTCAAATTTTATTAATAGAATATGTCATAAGCATCTCATATTATCTTAAAGACTATTTACAGTTATAAGTTTAGGTTACTCTGCAAGAAAAAAAGTATTAAATGTAAACTACACATCTATTAAAATTGTGAGTTTAAGACATATAAATGCAGTTTTATGGTAATATTACAATAGAGAACTTATTACAAATAGTTATACCACAATAAACAACTGAACTTTACTTGTAATACATTTTGGTAATTGTCGTGAAATAAATAATGAGTTGAATAATGTATTACAAATATTCTCAGATGAAAAAAAATTCCATAAAAAAATTAATGATAAAAAGGATTTTAAGTTATTGACTTTTTTTTAACATTTTTAAAACTAATACTTTTATTTTTATCAGGAAATATTATAGACTATATTATACTATTGCCAATGAATCTATAATAAATACACACAATCCCATAGTTTGTACAATCAACAAAGGCCGTACAAACTCTACACAAAGTTTGAATTTTGTACTTTAATTACGCGTTATTATGCTATTCTAATGTTCAACAATTTTTATTTAATAAATTATGCATTTAATGCATCATTATTGTCAAATTTTAAATATTGTAGTGAATTTAATAAAGTATAATATTGCAATTCTTTAAAACCAACGGGGTTATTAAAATTGTGCCTAAATGTGAATAATTTAATGTATTTTAAATATGATATTCATAAACTAAACTTAGTTTCAATTTTATACTCAAAAATATTTTATTTTTTTATTTAATAAATGTGTTTATTAAGACAATAATTATTATGATAATTAAAAACCGTTTGACTATGTTTAGTTGTATACAATCACCATGAAAACTCATATAAACTGCAAATCCATATACCAATTATTAAGTAAAAACACAAGAGGAAGAACGGATAACAAAACAAACAGAAAGTGGAATGACTTGGCTATCTATAGATTAATAAGTATAAATCAATTTAAAAATTAAATAATAATGGTAATTATAACAACTGTAAGTTTAAAAAGGACTAATTTTCTTAAGATATAATATAACCATTTTTAAATTACATTCATGGTAAGAATATTGTTTTAGAACCAAATGTTCAATACAATTTGTAAAATTTTAGTTAAAAATAGACTAAGTGAGAAAAATTACTAGATCCGGTTTTAATTGGTTTTTATTCATATTTGTTGATGTTAAAATAAAATATGGCTTAAATTTTCAAGATAATTTCAGGCATTTGGATTGGTTTAATTAACTTAAAATTTATTAATCAGCATCGGCTTTCATTCCTCTGACAGTTCCTTCATTTCTTTGCTGAAACGAAAATAAATAATTAAATATCTAATTCAATATTTACCTTTAGAAAACTTACTCTGTCTAATTCTTCTCGTGTCTTTTCTTCAATTTCACGAATATCTTGTAACGTAAGCCCATACCAACGATCCATCCAACAAAATACTTGTCTGTAAATATATTTTAATTAGAATTAACTTAATGCTAAAGAATAATATAATATTAAATAAATATAAGATTAGGTTTGAGTTACGATTTGGTCAGTTATTCTATCATATCAATCTGGAGAAGAAAACTAACCTATGGAAGTTTGTGAATAGACGACGTTCTGACTTTTGAATTAAATTCTCTACTCGGTTCTGTAGTCCAAACCATTTGAAGTCTGCAGATACTAATTTATAACAAGTCATAACTGGATTTGCCTAAAACAATGAGCCATAATGATATAAATTATATAACATTTATTACATTTCACACTATTAAAAATAATATAGTTCATAATAATTTCATACTGATGAAAGTGAACATACTGTTTCTATCCAATTTCCAGTAAGTGGACCTCGTCCACCCTTATGACTTTTAAATTTTTTAGGATCTTCATCTTCTTTGTAGTCTGAAGATGAAATAGTATCATTACCAATATCAATTATTTGTACTTCACGTTGTTTTAATTTTTCAGGAGGTAATTCATGAACCTGTTTTATTAAATGTTAATAATAATTAAGAGTTTTAAAATTATTTAATTCATTTATTGAATAAAAGTAATTTATACTGGATATTTATTTCTAAGAAGCATATTAATAATCATTTCAATAAACATATATACAATCACAAAAATAAATAAAAACAAGCAACTACAAAATAGAACATAGTATTTGTCTAAAAAATGTTACTGAAAATTCTAGACAAGTCACAATAATTAGAATTTAAAAAAGTAGTAAATAAAATTTGATATTAAAATATAAATTTTGTTTAGAAAGATGTAAATGATAACTTAAATTATTGTAACTCATATTTCATACATAAAATTATCATCTTTTTTTTTTTTTTTTTTTTTTGAAGCTATGATACATTCTGTTAATTTAAGCACAGCATGCATATAAATTATAGCTTATACAAAAACATTTTATAATAATATAAATTCAAGTAAAATCTTATATACAGTAGAACTCATATTATCTGAATGTCAATCAACTTGACATCCAATTATAACCAGACAAGAAATAAAAAAAGTTCGGTTCTATAAATAACTTATAAATCGCACTGCTGTCACATGTTAGTTGAAACATAGAAATGCGTACAAATTTGCACTTTTGAAAGATCATGAAATAAGTTATTGAAACAAGCTGAGGACACCCAAAATATGGAATTAAATGTTGAAATAACTAAAATACAGAAATGTATAAATCAAGTTCACATATTTAGGGATTGTGACAAAGAGAATATTAATGAATGGTTGCTTATGAACATAAATATGATCCTGGATATCAAATTTTTTTAAATGATGAAAAAATTCATATTTTATTTGATGAAGATGATACTGAAGAAGAAGAAGAAAATGAAACTGACAGTTTGATTGAAGGTGAAAAATGGCCATCTCATTCTGTGGCATTTGATGTGTTAAATTTGGCTTTTAAATGATTTGAGGGGGAAGAAAAATTTAATATCACTCAACTGTTGCAGTTAAGGAGATTGAGAGACATAGCTGCTCAAAAGAAAAAGTCAACTATGAAGCAAACTAAAATATCAATTTTTTTTTCAAAATAAAATAAAGAATGTACTAAGTCAGCTTTTTGTTTTAAAATATGTTATTGTATTTAAAGCTTATTCATTTTCAGTTTAATATTATAATAAAATAATTTATTTTTACAAATTTCAAATTATATTACATATAAATAATATACCCCCATACCATATATTCATACAATTATGTAACTTTTGATAAGCCATATGTGAATCATCCTGATATTTGCTAATTCAGACCACCCTTGAAATTAATTATACCGAATAATCGGAGTTCTACTGTATATATACTTAAATATATGTATATAGCTATATATAATGATTAAGCAATAACATACATAATATATCATATTTATAACGATACAAGATCCAACTCAAATTAAAATAATAATGTAGTGTTTAAGCATTTTATAACAGTGCTGATTTTTGAAATTGTAAACATAGAACTACATATTTTGTATCAAAATTTGTAAGGACCACATCACTTACGTTTTCTTGTGTACCTCTATCAGCAATATGATACGACTCAATGACTATACTGAAATTTTCTTTCATATAATTTGGATTCTGTATGTACAAGCAAAACCACCAAACAAAAAGCAATTATAATAAATTTTATTCCCAATATGATTGATTTAATATAATAAAAAAAACACATATAAAATTAGATTAATATACACAAGTGGATATAGATATGAGTTAGTTATTTTGGCCCATGTTTTCAAGCATGAAGAAATTATATCTACACCAATTTACACATAACACAAATATTCCTTTGTTTTGCTTTACAGCTATAATCCTTAAAACCTGGACTTTTGCACTTACATTGTTTTGAATTCCTCGATCAGCACAATGAAATGATTCTATAGTTATCATAAATTTTTCTTTCATATAATTTGGGTTCTATAAAAATAATTTTTTACTTTTAAAATAAAACACTATGTTTAAAATATAATAAATATATGCTGATATTGGATGGTTCATAAGGACTGATTAATGGTTAAAAGCTATATATTTTTTATAAAGAGAAATTTTATATTCAAAAATGTATTAATCTACAGTTATGTAATTATAAAAATTATAGAAATAAATTAAAACAGTCGTTGCTATCTATTAAAAGACTTATTAATCACATGGAACATAAAAAAGTGATAAAAACATACTTTCTTATAAAATATGCAGGTTTTATATTCTATTTGTGTTTTGTAAAATTTGTACAATATTAAAAATTAATTTACATTCTTTTGATAATTATATATTATTTAAACAATACATTAATTCTATAGATATCGAAAATCTCTCACTTAAACTGTTATAATATTCATCATAAAATACATCAATTATAAGTTTAAATGAACTTTTTATTCAAGTATATATTATTAATTTGTTAATCATATTTTCCTATATTATTATTTTCCTGTTAAATATTAAAAATATAACTCCTTCTCATAACAACGGCTATAATGAATAGACCAATACTGTTATTGTTTATTTACAAATTGTAATCATTACTATTATTGGTGAAATAAATGTATTATTATTATTATATAGTCTATTGACATTTGAATTGGAACATCTAATTATACTTTAATCTTATTATATATTGATTGTATAAACAGTAAATATAATTACATCTAGGAAAAAACAGTTCAACATATTAAAATATTTTGTAATAATAGATGATTTGGAAACTAGATAATTTTATTAAAACTGAAGGGCTCATTGTTCATTGATTAAATGAAAACAAAATATTATTTTTCAATACCTATGCTGTTTTTTTTCTCTCAAATTTTATAAATTAAATGAAGATTATATGAATGTAAATTATACTTAAAAAAACCTAATAGCTTACTGTAATCACGGTTCTGCAGTAAGGATACGCATTCCATGCTTCTTCATGAACTTCTAATGCTCCTTTAGGTGCTAGAAGTTTTATCATTCCAGGTACTTTGCTGCAATAAAATAATTATAGTTAGTTTAATACAATTCTGCAAACTTTCAAAATTATGTAAAATATATAAATATAAAAATTAATAATTATAAGTATAATAAATGCAACATCATTGAAACATAAGATTATGATCAGATTTTATTTTATAAGAAAATAAAAATAAATATATATAAAATATATTACACTGAATTTGAATAATTCAAAATTGATTCATTGAGATTGCTGAGTATACTGATATATACAAATAAGTGGAATCACTTATTTAAGTTTTAGTTATTAATTTCAAGTTTATTGATAGCAATTAGGAAAATATGCAAATTTAAACATGCTTTTATGTTCAAAATTGGATATTTAGTCTATATATTTTAACTGGTATAAATTTGTGTATTATAATGTAAAAATTCAAATAAATTATTTAAGTAATCAACTAATTTTTATTCATTTATGATTTATAATACTTAGTTTTAATAAAATTTATCAATTGTTTATAAATATTTATCATTAAATTAATTTGCTTTTGTAGTAAATAAGAAATACTTTTCAAAACTTTTACAAGAATTTGATTAATAGAAATTATATTTATAAATTAACCTTAAGCAAGGTTTTAAAAAACGTTATCCTTTACTTATAATTAATTATTGTCAATATGATTATTTATAACTAAAATAATGTAAATATAATAAAGAAATAGGATGAAAAAATTTTTTATGGAAAAACGATATATATATTTGTAGTAAATGACCTTTAAAAACTTGTTAAGCATGCTATTAATTGATAATAACTGCATTAAATATACATGGTGAAGTTATATAAATATAATTTCAAAGTAAAACAATAAAGTGCTAAATTAAAACTTCTTTATAATTAATAATAATTAAGCTATAATGAGTAATTAAAAACTGATTATAAAGGTATATTGAGAATAGGAAAAATATTATAATTTTATAATATAAAAATGACCTATGATATGTAAATGTTTAGTTGCTCGATTAATTTACTTTCATACATTTTTATTTGGTCAATAATTATTATTCTTGATCATATATTTAAATATATTATATCTGAGAATATAATACTATCATTAGAAATTTAATATATATTTCTCAAGAAGATATACTTATTTACTATCTTTACTATTAAGAACAAATTATAAATTTGTTATTGTTATAAAATAAATATGTTGTTATAGAATAATTATTTATATAACATGATAACATGATTATTATAATATAATGATTTACAATACCATAAAATGACGATCAATATCAATTAACTTCAGAATTATCAAATTTCAATGGTTAAAAAACTTAATAATGTTACATTATTTAAATTTCCATAGGTTTTATTTTTAAAAATAAATAATACCTGATGGACAGTTCTTCATAAACAATGAAGAAGTTTGCTTGAGTGTTTTAAAGCCAAATATCTTCAATAATTAGGTTTGTAAATAAATAAGTGACTATGTCTAAAGAAATTTTAGTTGCACAATTATAAAAATATTTAAAAAATGTTGAGAAAATTCTCAAATCGGAAATATAATAAAATATATAAGATATTTATTTTTGGCTAAAATAATTTTTCTTTTAATTCAGAAAGAATACTATTTATAAATTGAAAATTGACTTAAACTTATAATTTAATTAATATATATATATATATTAGTAATGATGATAATATTATAATAATTTTTAAAATTTAAACTAACACTTAGAGTATATTTTGTAACATAAACAAGTACAAAATGTAAATTTTATAATTTGGTAAAAAATTATTCCTTGATTTATAGCATATCTCTCATATCAACTAAATAATGCATATTAGATTTCATCTTACAGCAGAGTAATAAAATATAATTTTTAAATTAATTGTTTAAAAAATAGGTAAAAAAATATAAACTTAAATTTAAACGATGCAATAGGAAGTTGAAATATTATACCAAGGTTAAAATAATGCAAAATAGTTTTATAAATAAAAATATGGATTTTTATGTTTAAACTAAAGTAGTTTATTAGCCTTCGGAAACATGTCATCCAATGTCAAATAGCATTCAATGTAAAGCTGATAAACCAGCTGTATAATACTTGTTTAATGTTTAAAAACATTCAAAACCTAGTTTTGTTATTTGCACATATACAACGCGTTTTAATTATAAACTATTTTAATTAATTAATTTAAAGGTTTTAAGTTAATATTACATAGATAAATTTGTATTTCTTTAAATGCTTTAATATAGAGTAAATAAAACTTATAATTTGTTTAAGAATGTGGATTATCGAATTTTTTCAATATATTTATGTAATGGTAAAAATAAGAAAAAATATGATAGTCCTCAAGGGGGTAAATAGAATAATTATAATTGTTAATTAATAAATGTCTACAAATTACCTGGCTAAATGATAAATTTTATAAGTATACTGTCCTTCAGAATATTTTCCTCCCAAAAGTGGGTAATTGGTAAATGGTTCATTTTTTAACACTTCAATGCCTTCACCACCACCAGTTTCATTTTTACTTGCTTCTGCTACTGAGTACAGCTGGGCGATTTGATACTAAGAAAATAATATGAGATTAAAAGTAATTTAGAAAATCAATAACATTCAAATATTTATATATATATATATAATTTTAGGAATATTCAAATTTAACTGGGTATATTAAAATTAGAAAAGTATGATCAATTATATATTAATTTGTATATAATTATTTAAATGTAAGTATAATTTATATAAAATCATGTTATGGGCAAAGTAAGAAAGTTTATCCATTATTGTAATATTAACATTAAATACATTAAAAAAAGCAAAGTAAAACACAATCATTATTAATTACAAACTATTATAACCATACACCTTCTACAATAGTAAATTAATAAAATCAAAGATATCAATAAGTTATTTGGAACTTAATTAAATAAAAAAACATAAAATAGTAATTTATACATATTATACTCCGCATTATATAGATACAATGTTATAACTTAATATTGTATGTTGAAGTTGTATTATATACTTAGTTATTTAAATAAATATATGCATGTAAATACAAACCTCTTCGACAGTTAAGGGCAGCACCACACGACTAAAAAAAAAAAAAAAATTGTTTTTTATTAATAAAAACAAAATTGTTTATTATTGTATGAAATTAATACACATGATACACATTATTACTAATTTGTTTATTTAATCAAAATTGTATAGATTTTTAATATGTGATTAAATATAACGAAAAAAAATATAAAAAAAGGATAATAAAAAAAAAAAAAAAAAAGACTATAGGTCATACTCAAAATCTGTTTTTTTCCCTGTTTAGGATCAGCAACGTCAAATATGGTATTTGCGCAATACTGCCCCGATTGAGCTGAATAACTGTCATGAAATAATATGATTTATGAATAAATAAGACGAAATGAAAATAGTATATAGGTATATCACAACTAAAATAATATATTTATGAGATACCTTATAATATCTAAAAACATTATCTTCAAATATTTAAAAAAAATATTCTACTCAAATGATTTATTTCAGTCATAAATTATCAGGAAAATGTGAAATATTAGCCTTTGGATATTAAATGAACTCGATAAGTAGTTATTGACAGTGCTGACATGTATTACTACTAATTTTTGAATGGTAATTGATTTTATAAAATTATATTATTTAATATAATTAGAATTTCTTATAATTATGAGCATCAAATTATTCAATTTAAGATATATAAAATTCTTTAAATCTCAATAAGAAAACCATGCAACTTTTTCAAGTCATGATTTTTATAAAATAACATGAAATAAATAATCAATTTTTCATGAAGCATACACAATTTTAATAAACAACGGTTTATTTTATTAACAAAAATTCATATTCACAACATTAACAAAAGTATTTAAAAATAAAAATAAATAACTATAAGTAATTGATTTTGTGTTGGATAAAAATATTTAATATACATTTGTTATTAGTATTGCACTATTCTAATTGTACTAAAATTGTAGTTGTAATAATCTAATGTAATTTTATTATTCTATTTTTGTAAAAACCCTAGAAATTATGAGGTATACCTAAGAAAAAAAATGTTGATACAAAAACTCGTAATAAAAGAAGAATTTATAGTTCTAAATTATAAATACATTCAATGTAATATTCTTAAACTATGTAGGTATCAGTGATATAAAAGAAAAAGTTGATAAGTAGGGAACAGATTTTAATTTAAATAAATATGTTTATGTAGTTTTAATATCGGAGAGTTATTGACATATGTGTACGTTTCATTTCATTTTGAATGAACTGATGTTAATTATATTTTAGTATTTTATGAAGGACGAAAATATATGATTAAGTCTGTACAATATCTTATCTAGGAAGTAGGTTCAAATTTCAAAAAACTTGCAAAACAATCTGTTACTTATTTCGGCTAATTTTGTATTTTTAGTTGATATTATTTCAAAATTAGAAACTTCTAAAATGGCATTAACCAAGAGCCTAGAAATAGTAGATAATGACATTAAGCAATTAGAACGCGTTCCTGGAGAAATTGGAGTTTTAACAAACCCTAAATTACAAAACATATTGGGAAAAACCCCAGGATTTATGATAGTAAAGTCGATAGAGAAATACTATTAAACAAAACTCCAAAAAACAATTTAGAAATAGAGTATAGTCCAAAAGAATTAACATGTATGAAATATGTACCTGTCACTTCCGTTAATGTGGAGAAGTCATTTAGACGTTATAAAGCAATACTAAGATTGAATCGTCATGATTTAAAATTTGAATATCTCAAATTATATGTCGTTTCTAGTTGTTTCTCTCATGAAGAATATTTGGATGATTCAGAATAAACATTTTTATTTTTAAATTATGTATTGTTTATAATTTATAGTGAATTGTATCTTATTTTCAATTTCAATACTTCAATATTATAAATATTTATGAAGTAATAAACAAATATATATTTAAATATTTTTAATTTTTTACTAAATTTAAATTCATTCCCTATTGATAAGCAATTTTAGTCAACTTTTAAGGAAAACAAATTTGGTTCATTTTCAATAAAAATATACTTAATTTTTCATTTAAAAATTGGAATTAACATAAACAGTATAAACTTTTGTCATTACACTGAATATATAATAAATAGCTTATCAAAGGACTTTAATGTACTGACAAAAGGGGATAATGTTGGAGATTAGTGAATTTATCAAGTATTCTACGGAGTATTTCTACAAATATTAAATCCATGGGAATCCAATCAAAACGAAAAAAAAACACGGAATATGGTGATAATACATTGTGTTGCCTTGTAACAAGAATGAATTTTTTCAAGATTTCATGATACTAAAGTACATAGGACATGGGCGGCAATGAAATGATCCACTAAGTGGTAAGTGCACTAAGCGGGTCGTTTTACGCCCCGTGAACTCAAAGAGTGATGGAAAATAATATGACGACAAAAACAACCAGGAACTAGTCATTTGATCATCGATTATTATTGCGATAGTCATCGTCATCACAGGTGAGTAAAAACGCTTTAAATAACAATTCGACCCATTTAGTGAACGCAAACGAAAGCACATAGTGGCGCTTCTGACGAAATGTGTGAAAACTCGGAAAAAAAAAATGTACACACACACAGGCATGGGTGAATATTATGCGAATGTAAGTCAAACGTAGGGATAGGGGGTTAATTTATTCGCAAAACTTACAACTCTTTGATGAGCATTTTTCTGGCAGCGTGACTGTTATTGTTTCGGTAAACTGTCTCGACCACAAGTTGGCGAAGGGCGAGAGCGGAACTGAGACGAGGTCCGCAGTCCCGTACGCGTCGTCCCTCGGACTAAGACGACGACAGAGAAACACGTTCGGTCGGGGCGACGAGAGAGGAATACGCGATTCTTGGTGCTGCCGCGGCGTACCAATAAATGCCGCGCGCGTCGTGGTAACCGATGTATTCAGCGTATCTGAGCAATGATAAAAAAAATTAAGAAAAAAAACAGCAGTAAGAATAGTAATAGTTATAATAATAATAACACGACGTGCACCGACCGGGGGTGTTATTGTTTGGCGAAGTGTGCGCGGAGCCGGATAATATTTTATGTGATTTGATTTAATATGTAGCACTACGCGTGGCGCGTACGGCGAGAGGTGGTGGCGAATGCGACACCCGAGTGATGCGGACCGATAATAATAAATAGAAACGTTCAAATGTTGCCAAACTGCAGCGGCTGCTGATAAGTGAATTTCCAGGAGTTTAAAAGCGGCGTACAGTAGAGTGGGAGCCGGCTGCGCGTGTGTTAGATGGAGAGAGACTGCGAGTGAAAAGTTGACAGGGTGAGAGAGAGAGAGAGAGTGAGCGAGAGAGTATGAGTGAGTAAGCGACGGAGAAGAACAAGACCGACTGTCCAACACACGTAGCTGCGGGAGGCCTTCGAATCGATTGCTAGACCTGTTTCTACCATCCTTGGCCACGGCGCGTGCACGACCATTCGATGACGGCGCCGCTGAGACCCATGCGCAACGACATCTGCCGGTGTGCAAAGGCATCCATGAAAAACATAAATCGAACAGTCGTCGCCACAGTTCGTAAAACCGCGCATGCGTCATGACAACAATATTGATACTCATTGGTAAATTGATTGTAATAAGAACTATAAGTAATTTTTATTAATCGAAAAGGATGAGAATGTCAAAAGAAAAAAGAAAAAACTGATACATTATCCTGGTCATGGTCGGGCGAGACAGTTTATTTAATATTAATTTATAATTGTGGAGCATAAGACACGGTGGCATAGAGGGGAATTTGTCATATGTTTCGCGGAGGGTGGTCTATTCTAAGCAAATGCCTATTTAAAAAATTAAAGAAAAGGTTAAAATTCTCATATATCCTGTATACTATAAACTATATCCATTAGTAAAGCAAATTCAGTACATAAATTAAACATTGATAGAGAAAATAATATTGTAAAAAACGATTTATTAATTAATTAAAAAATGAACAATTAATTAATGGTTAGAAAAACGAAATATGTCCAGTCAGGAAGTTTTTTCAGTCCCTCCCCTTCAGTATAAGGTATAAGGGGTGTTAGTACTAGGACTAGGCTTGAATCCCGGATAGTATTGTGATTTTTGCAATGTAAAATTATAAATAGACCGATTCAATAAAATTATTTTGGAAACGAATTTATTATGTTTCTAGATTATTTTCTCGCCAAGTAAGTAATAATATACATAGATTAAATATAATATAATTGTATATATTGTATATTTAATCTACGTAATGTGGTAGTAACAAGTAAAAGTAATAATGTATTAAAAGTATTAAACCGACTGACTGATATAATAACATCAATCATGTCAAATAATCCCATTTGTAATATTCAATTATGATTCTTTTTTTTTTTTTAATTTGCCTTTGTTCGCACATTATAGTGCAATAATGATTTAAAATCGTATATTTTATTCTATAACGTGTTTGGTTTTTTTAATAAAATGTAGTTATTTAAAATGTTTTGAAAAACGTTGGATCCCTCAAAAAAAAAAAAAAAATCCTAGATCCACCACTACTCCCTTCTTGGTTGCAATGAGAAATTAATGGTCAGTACGCACTATACAACCTATATGGTTTATGAATTTCTCTATTGAAATATTTAAAAAAATTTTATTCATTAATTTACGGACTTCGACCGTATAAATAACAATTTTGTGCGAATCTAAGTTAGATTTTCTTTGCCTCCATTCTCGACTTAAAAGCGTCCTATTACCGGGTATTTTTTAAGTAAGAGCAAATCAAAATTGGCAAAATGCACGTTTTTAGATTTAAATTCGAACAAAATTGAAATAGATTTGATTGTTCTTTAATCTTCTAGCAATAAAATAAAAACTGTGTTTTATTTATATACCTTTATTTCTTATACGCAATAACCTCAAAATGATAGATAGAGAGAAGAAATACATTAAAATCTTTTTTCATTCTTAAATTTGTTAGTATGCACATAAATTGTATAAACTCGAAATGGTTAGTGTTATTTTTTTTAGAAATGTCCTGTTGATGGGGCGCTCCCATGAATGGATTTCCAATTTTCAATTCAAGTCGTTCTATATTATACAAAATAGTCATGAAGTTTTCAGATGGTACTCGGTATTACGGTATTTGTATTATTTAGGGGTGAGGCACGGATAGCTATGCGTGATAAATTATAGTTATTGTTTATGTAAATTTGGAGGTGTTAAATAATTTTTAGAGGTGTTTTATACTCGATGTATATCTCGTACAAAATAATCTACACCGTACGCCCATAAACCAAGTATATTATCTGCGAGTACTTAACCTAAATTGAATAAAATACCTACTTTAATATTTTAATAAGTATAAAATTTAATAATATCAGTAATATTCTTGACATACATTTTACAAAAGACAGTTTACGTTTTTTATTTAAAATTTTTAAAATATTTTGTAAAGTTATTGTTAATATTAAAATAAACAAAATTTATATATACACAGTCGCATAGTGGAATCACGAAAATTTTAAATTCTATATACGAATTGAATTTGTTTTACTTAGCTTAAGCAATGAGTTTCGAGTTATCGTCATTACAATGTGTGTATATGTTATGTAAATCGATCATCACATTTAACTTTCCTTCACAATTATTATTCGTGAATTATAATTTGAGGTAGTTATTTGTACAGTTATATTGACATATCAACCCCAAACCTAGATATTTGATCAAACATACTGGTACTAAATAGTAATTAAATATTATTATGTCAGCTATTTATATTTATAATTGAATAAACGTGAAATAGGCAAATTTTTACTATTTTAACTAAACATTGTATACCAGAGATCGGCAGGTAATATCTATTGGAGTCCTTAAGATTAAAATAATAAATCAATAAGATCCAGTGAAAACAATTTTTTTATATTTGAAAAATAGCAGTATATATATATATAAAAAAATATATCTAGTTATTACAATTAATTTATATTAAAAATTACTATATTAGCAGTATGAAACTAGATTTACAATCAATTTCAATTAAATAAGTTACAATATTAGGTGTTTAATAATAATTTTATATAATAATAATAATAATAATATATCAAGTAATTTAATGCCAAAAATTTCATTTCTTTCTCTTATCCAGTTTTTTTAAATTGGAAACTCGAGGAGAACAGCTTTAAGCGCAATGTTTCTTCAAGGTGAGAGTCTGTTAATTTTGTCAGATATTTGTTTGTCAAAAAATTAATTTTTGAAAATGATGCCCAACAATTGCACGTCAAACCAAACATCGTAGACCAGTTGCTTACATTTTGGACACTTGTCAATGATATCCTTAGACCAGAATTCTTCAGTTGACACACTTCTGTACATTTTATAGGAAACATCTTCCTGTAGGTCGATTATTTCCATTTGAAGTTTGGATTTTGAAGATTAATTAATTATTCAGCTACATCAATCCAGGTTGTTACCCATTTGCGCCAAAATAAAATAGTTATGTTTTTCAGACAGCCCATTTGCGCCAAATTTATCTGGTATAATTATAATAAAGTAATATATTTTTTTCTCAAATGATAATCAATTAAATATTCATATTCAATATTTTTAGAAGATGTATACACTAAAATATACTTATGGCGATTTTCAACAACCATTTTCTTCCTTCTTGTACTTGTCGCGAACTCCATTCTTACGATTTATAATTCAAATAATTAATAAATTCGAGAATATTATTTAGTGTAACGTAACGAATGTCTGATGAAATCACACTGCAATCGCTCTTTGTTGAATAACGATACCTATATATTCGATAACGGAGTACGATAATATCGTATATCATAATAAAACTGATACAAAATTTGTTAGTTTATCTTTCAATGCAATAATATACAAAGCTTTAAAATCTATAGACTTATAAAAATAACTTTCCTATACGTTATAGATACGACGTCTTTAAAATATAAGAATTAACCAAGTCGTTAATTTAAAATGTTTACATCGGTAAATTTGGCACAAATTAGCAGTCTGAAAAAACATACCTTTTTTATTTTGGCGCAAATGGGCTGTACCCAAAACGAATTCATTTTTTTTTGGCGCAAATGGGCGATGTCCTCAATCCATTCTCCGTCTAGGATGTCATAAGGAGTTTTTAAGAATTGTAATAGTTTTTTTGTTCCAAAAAAGTCTTTGAACCTTGCATAGAACTCTATAATTGCATTGCATAAGACCAGACGAAAAACTTAAAAATGTGTCGGTGTTTACAATTTATAAATTATAACATATTTCCAAAAAAAAAAAAAAAGTAATAATTATTACACAGTAATTTGTTATTTAACACGTAGTTGACATACAGTAATTATAGGTGCAACTTGAACTTATTTTTAATTTGGGATGGCTATGAAAATATATAGGGGAATAAGCCGCCTCCTAGTTGTGCCTATAACCGTAATCCGTTTTTTATTAAGTCTTAATAACTTGGCTTTAGCAGAATATATTTGAAATTTATATCTGCTATTCATTATCGTATTGACTATTGCGTAAAATATACCTATTTCACTAGCGGCGACGGCTATTTTAGTACAGAGGGAACAAGACCTAACCACTTGTCTAATGTATTCATAAAAATACAATTGTAAGAATAATTAATTATGAAACCATAATCAATGATCCGTTACAAAAAAAGCTTGAAAATATATTTTTAAATTAATTTTTTTTTAGAAATTCAATTGTAAATAAAAATTATACATTTTGAATTGTATTTAAACATTTTGTTTTGTGTAGGTACTCGGCATACCTTGTACTTTCACCTACGTAAGGGTGCTGCATATTTGTTTGCCTCAGGCGTTAAATTTCCTAGATCTTGCACTGGTTGTGAGTGGCTGTGGTTTGTGAGTCAATATTTACGAAGACTTTGATGTATAGGGTATAATACACCATAATAAATAGTTAAATAAAATTTACGATTTTTTTTTAATTAATAATTTATTTTTTGGCCACGTAAATCAAACATTATACATTATTATACTGATTATACTGATATATACTATTGGCTTTTATTAGCAAACTAATAAAACCAGTTATGACACAAGGGGGTATTTGAGGGGGTGAAGGGGGAATTCGCTCCCATGGCTCGTATTTTTTTTTGAATATAATACATTGATTTATTTAAAAAATGTAATGTGTAAATAATTAAGAATACAAATTACTAGTCTATCATTATAATATGATAATAAATTCAATAATATGTCAATTTGATCACGGGTATCAATTCGTATATTATAACATTTTTGGCTGTGGAATGAATAGTAGTATTATCCTCCACAGATATTGCCACGGTTGTAGACATTTACAACCATAACTGAGGTATTTATCAGATAATATAAAGTAATTTAAAGAAACAATTTTTTTAACACATATTTACTAGTTAGTCATTTT